ATTATGATCTTGCATTGCATAATGGAGTTGTATATTTATTAAATATATCTGAACCAACTATAAATCATAAAGTGTTTCAAGAATAACAGCAATTGACCAGGCTTGTGTCTCACAGCTGAAAGGACAATACTGGCCATTCTCATTGGTCAGTTCTGGAAGTCCTTTCCAAGGGGATCTGAAAAAGAGAAAGGATTTTTTATGAGACGTAATCTAACACATTTTAACAATATAGTTAATAGTTCATGTTTTTTGCCTTTTAGTACAGAAACAATCACTTGTAACAAAATAAACCAGAATATCCTAAAGATGTCCTTTTTCCTATTCCATCCTTGGGATTTATAACTTTCCAATACAAAGGATCCTTTGATCTATTAGAAACATAGTAAACCATCACCATTCCAGGCAATATAGGCATATTCTTTGAGGCTTAATTTCATTATTTTAGAATAAATTATAAGACTCAAGTTGTACTTATGTAGATAGTATGTGTGATTTGTGTGTGTGTGGTGCTGGGAATTGACTCCATGGCCTCATACATGCTAGGCAAGCACTCTATTTTTGAGGTACATCCCCATGTGTGATCTTGATATAACTGTAAAACTAAATAAAATAATAAACACTAGGAATTGTCACTGAGAAAAACTGACCATTTTCATTTTACTAAATAACAAATTTATATAGTATACACTTATGTTCTAATATTTAGTAATTTATATACATTACCTCATTTAATGCTCATCGTAACTGTATGATACATGAGCTAGAATTACTCCTTACTACTACAGAATTAAGAGGCATTAATAAAGCTTAAAAAATGTGTTCTAGAACACAGAATTATTATTGTATCTAATTTATTCTTAGTTTCAAAATACATCCTTAAATATGAAGCAAATTTCAAAAAATTAAAAATACAAAAATTTGTAATATTTCTTTTTTTAATTTTTTTTTTTTTTTAGTTGTAGATAGACAACATCTATTTGTTTTTTTATGTGGTGCTGAGAATTGAACCCAGGGCCTCACACATGCTAAGTGAGCACTTTCCAGCTAATCCACAACCCAAGCCCATAATGTTTCTTTCTTAAGTGGGATTGTGAGAATCTATTAATTTCCTTATTTTTCATTGGAACTCAGTGTGTTACAAATATTCTTCTGTACATAGAAATATTTCATAATTAAAATAGGAAAATAATTCCATGAGATGAATATGAGTTATTTTTGATAGGTATTATCAAAGAAGCTAGGTATTATATTCATTTTTTAATAAAGGTATATGTACATGAACATATACCTTTATTTATTTTTATGTAGTGCTTAGGAATGAACCCAGTGCCTCACATGTGCTAGACAAGCACTCTACCACTGAGCTATGACCCTAGCCTGGTATTATATTCCTTAAAAAAATCTATCAAATAGAAATGTAAAATATAGAAAAAATATTTAAATATCTACAAGTATTAAAGTTACTTCAGAGCGAAATGCCAAATCTCTGAAGTTGGATAGTTGGGTAATCTGTAAGTGGTTGAACTATATTCCCCATTCATGATTAGTTATTAGCAGATATGATTAGTTAAGATGAGGTTATACTGGGGTAAGGTGGGCCCTAATCCAATATGACTGGCATCCTTATACAGGAGAAATTTGGACACCAACATGCACACAAAAGGAATGTCCAGTGAAGACTGAAGGTTTGCTGTCACAGCCCTAATGCCTTCAGAGAGAGAAGGACCCTGCCCATGCCTTGATTTCAGATTATTGGCTGCAGAAATTGAGACAATATCCTGTTGTTTAACAGCTTCTGTGAAGTCACTCAGTTTGT